ACAGGAGAGTTTCGCAATGACTCAACCCACTATCTTCGCATGGTGCCACTCTCAAACCGCAGGATCATGTTCATATAATCACTTAGCACACACATACACACACAGGCGCAGACACAAGCACGCACACACGCACATAAGCGCGCGCACGAGAGCGGAAACAGGCCCGTGATTCTGACCACATGAAAGCTTGTGTCACCGCCATCACCTCCAACGTTATGCTGCTGGTAGTCATGGAGAAGGCACCACTAGCTTCTTGAACTCTTCTGCCTGAAGAGCAATTTGTTAATGCCCATGAGCTGTTTTGTCCTCATATAACGGACCCGTGCAGATCAGCTGATATGGGCGCAGACCTCGGCGTTGACAGCAATGGGATTTTGCTTCCGAGAACTTCTGTCTAGCGTGACGACATAAGAGAAGGTGAGATTAAGCACGGATATCTATACCTCACCAGGGTGGATGTGAGACTGCAGACCTGCTTGATGTCATCCTCTGGCCCATCCAGTCATGATGCATGTTTCTAAGACTGCAGACCTGCTTAATGTCATCCTCTGCCCTACCCAGCCATGATGGATGTCTGTAAGACTGCAGACCTGCTTGATGTCATCCTCTGCCCTACCCAGCCATGATGGATGTCTGTAAGACTGCAGACCTGCTTGATGTCATCCTCTGGCCCATCCAGTCATGATGTATGTTTGTAAGACTGCAGATCTGCTTGATGTCATCCTCTGGCCCATCCAGTCATGATGTATGTTTGTAAGACTGCAGACCTGCTTGATGTCATCCTCTGCCCTACCCAGCCATGATGGATGTCTGTAAGACTGCAGACCTGCTTGATGTCATCCTCTATCCCATCCAGTCATGATGTATGTTTTTAAGACTGCAGCTCTGCTTGATGTCATCCTCTGGCCCACACAGTCATAATGTATGTTTGTAAGACTGCAGATCTGCTTGATGTCATCCCCTGGCCCAACCAGTCATGATGTATGCTTGTAAGACTGCAGATCTGCTTCATATCATCCTCTGCCCCACCCAGTCATAATAAGCCACTATTTAGTCTGTTGCCCTTTTCCCTGAAGAGCATGTTATGTAAAGTGTGCTCAAAGATTATCTTGAGGTATGCAAACTCCCTCCAAATCTTGATCCTTTAGTTTATAGTAGAGAAATCAAGAAGGTATCTTATTGCCACACAAGATGTATGTCTTGTGCACCCCAGAATAATGTGCATGACTTCGTTTTGCACATTTTCAAGTCTTTTAGTCTGAGTATGGCTGACAGTGGGAATGGCTAGAGCATATTCGATGAGAGAAAGAACAACTCTCTGGAACAGAAGCAGACTCTGCCTGGTATTTGCGGCGGCCATGACTCTCATTGCTGATAGGCCTTTTCGTGCTTGTGTTATAACATGTTTAACTTGATATTTGAAGAACGTGCTGCAGTCAAAGCTCACGACGAGATATGTCATCAGGTTTGTTATCGTCAAAGTTTCCTCGCTGCTTTCCACTGCTGGTAAGTCTCCCTTCACTATATGCGTATTCAAGGAGAACCACGTTACTGGGGGATGTTTTTGTGGTATGATTGTAGACAAATACCGTGATGTGGCTGTAGATACCACGATGCAGCTAATGTGTGGATTGAAAAGCTATGATGTCTCAATTGTAGTTTGTCGGTGAGTACCACAGCAGGTGTAGCTATGTAAGCTTGTTAGATATGATAACTGAAACATGGTTATTGTATGGGCCCCTGGGATAACTTTGGTACCAGTGGCTCAGGGATCCGACATGGTAAAACGGTTAGACGCTCGCCTGAGGATCCGAGGGTGGTGGGTTCAGCTTCTGACGGAACCGAACCTTTTCTCAACAATGACCTTGAGTCGCTCCAGCTGTAAACGGCTGCCAGGTAATTTCCTGGAAACTGAAAGCCGCTGTGTGAATGTTGACAGCACTCGCGGAGTGATCTGTGGTCTATAAAATCTAGGCAGGTCACGACCGGCTCCAGCTGACGGGCCGTGCTGCTGACGTCATCGGGTCGTGCTAACAACGCATTAACGCAGCGGTTCTAAAATAAGAAATAAACTTTTCTCGACAGTGGAGGGGCAAGACAACTTAAATTTAACTTTTAAGTATCTACAGGCCTTCTTCAATAATTTCACAATTTTTAGCCGACTTTTCTTGATTATTGCGGCGGCACCCCTGGCATACGCTCAATGCACCCCAGGGTGCCTCGGCTTCCAGTTTGAGAACTGCTGCGTTAACGCATTATTAGCCCGACCCGGTGACGTCAGCAGCATGGCACGTCAGCTAGAGCTGGTCGTGGGCAGGTCCTATGTGCCGCAAAATACGTCTGATAGTGTGGAAATGGGTTCTTTACTTATGAGGTGGAGTGCCAACGGACCTGTGGATAATTTTGATTTTAGGAGGACGCAAACTAAAAATCTGGCAAACTGAGGGATCAGAAGTTGATTAAAAAAAAGCCGATGCACCCGGAAAACGTCCATTTGGCTCACGGGGCATTCTTGACTCCTGTGTTCGGCCGCTTTGCCGATGTGTGGCCGCAAGTGGTCCACAGCGCAGATACGACCGACTTATTCGAGAGAGAGATGGGACTGTCTGACTAAGACCGGCTCCAGTATTCATATTTATTATTATCACAAGAAATTTCAAAAACTAATGTTAAATTTATGTGCAAATTTAGCTATTTACCGCATAAATTATGACATTTTCAATCAATTTCCGTAAAGATATGTTAATTTTAGCCACCAAATCTAGTTTTCCATTAATTTTTAACAGTTATGTACCTATAGAAAACATTTTTTCCAGCATATAGAATCAAATTCAATTTGGGAGTTTAACCTTTCCTTACACGTATCGTTAACCCGGCTAGGTGACGTCAGCAGCATTGCCCGTCAGCTGGAACAGGTCTTGGTCTGACTTATTGCCGCGGTGGTACGTTTCTATGGTTATCTGTGAATTTTCTGAAGTAGTTAAACTGTGTGGATAGAGATATCAGTGTGTGCGAATTTTCACTTTTGCTAGTTGAAGTGCTTAGCACGTGGTATGTGTGGACACGATCTTGTTGGTTGTGTAAAGTTATCTGTGAAGCAACATTAGTTTTGCATTCAGTAAAATAAATAGATGTTAAATGTGATAATAATAGTTTCAGTTGTTTTGATTCGAGTTAGGACTTGTAGTTAGCGTGCCTAATTTTACTGTTACGACTTATTAGACTTCATTCAGAATATATCCTATCTGGGTTAGGAAACTATTGGTCTCAGCCCCCGCTCAACAATCAAATCAGAGAATACAGATCTGGCTATCTGAGGGATCTGGGAAACAAGAGAGCTACATGAGGATAGAGGTTAGCTACACGAGGATAGAGGTTAGCTACACTACAGAGTCCAACTACACAGTTCAGATAGGCTAGCTACACGAGGAAAGAGAAGTGATACACGAGGCAAGTATCCTCTCTCCTCGCTTAGCTATTTTCTCTTCTTGTACAGCTCTCCTCTCCCCTCGCGTATCTGTCCCATCTTCTCGTCTAGCTAACAGCTGTACAAGAAGAGAAGATAGCTACACGAGGAAAGAGGTCAGCTACGCGAGGAGAGAGGATAGCTACTCGAGGAGAGAGGATAGCTTCTCGAGGAGAGGCCAGCTAAACGAGGAGAGAGGCTAGATACAAGAAGAGAGAGGCTAGATACACGAGGAGAGAGGCTAGCCATTCGATGAGAGAGGACAGCTAAACGAGGAGAGAGGACAGATACACGAGGAGAGAGGCTAGCCATTCGATGAGAGAGGACAGCTAAACGAGGAGAGAGGACAGATACACGAGGAGAGAGGACAGATACACGAGGAGAGAGGACAGCTACACGAGGAGAGAGGACAGATACACGAGGAGAGAGAACAAATACACTAGGAGAAGGGACAGATACACGAGGAGAAGGTACAGCTACAAGAGGAGAGAGGACAGCTACACTAGGAGAGAGGGCAGATACACGAGGAGAGAGGACAGCTACACGAGGAGAGAGGACAGCTACACGAGGAGAGACGACAGTTACACGAGGAGAGAGGACAGATACACGAGGAGACGGGACAGCTACACGAGGAGAGAGGACAGTTACACGAGGAGAGAGGACAGATACACGAGGAGAGAGGACAGATACACGAGGAGAGGGGACAGATACACGAAGAGAGGGGACAGATACACGAGGAGAGGGGACAGATACACGAGGAGAGAGGACAGATACACGAGGAGAGAGGACAGATACACGAGAAGAGAGGACAGATACACGAGGAGAGAGGATAGCTACACGAGGAGAGGGGACAGATACACGAGGAGAGAGGACAGATACACGAGGAGAGATGACAGATACACGAGGAGAGAGGACAGATACACGAGGAGAGAGGACAGATACACGAGGAGAGAGGACAGATACACGAGGAGAGAGGACAGATACACGAGGAGAGAGGACAGATACACGAGAAGAGAGGACAGATACACGAGGAGAGAGGATAGCTACACGAGGAGAGGGGACAGGTACACGAGGAGAGAGGACAGCTACACGAGGAGAGAGGATAGCTACACGAGGAGAGAGGATAGGTACACGAGGAGAGGGGACAGGTACACGAGGAGAGAGGATAGCTACACGAGGAGAGAGGATAGCTACACGAGGAGAGAGGACAGATACACGAGGAGAGAGGACAGCTACACGAGGAGAGAGGACAGATACACGAGGAGAGAGGATAGCTACACGAGGAGAGAGGACAGATACACGAGGAGAGAGGATAGCTACACGAGGAGAGGGGACAGCTACACGAGGAGAGGGGACAGCTACACGAGGAGAGGGGACAGCTACACGAGGAGAGGGGACAGCTACACGAGGAGAGAGGACAGAGACACGCGGATAGAAGACAACTACGCGAGGAGAGAGATTAGCTACACGAGATTCGTGAGTTCACAGACAGAAGATCTGGAGCATCAGCTATAGAGAGGGACACAAACAAAACATCGTTAAGGGACTTAGAGGCCCAAAAAAAAAAAAAAGCTCATACAGACAACGTGGCAGAGAGTGTGACAAGGTCATGACAGATGTGAAGGTAACAGACAGACAATTAATTAATATGATTAAAGACACACCTAGAATAACATCGGACTGGAGGGCACATACAGAACAACATTTTTTTACTTAGCGTCAGATACAAGGGCGTGGAAATTAAACTGTGACAAAGTGGGAGACAGTGTGAATGACAGTGTGACAAACGGCGGTGTGACAGACAGTGTGGCAGAGAGTGTGGAAGAGAATGTGGCTAACGGCGGTGTGACAGACAGTGGGACAGACAGTGTGGAAGACAGTGTGGCTAACGACGGTGTGACAGACAGTGTGGCAGACAGTGTGGCAAACAGCGGTGTGACAGACAGTGTGACAGACAGTGTGGCAGACAGTGTGACAGAGAGTGTGACAGACAGTGTGACAGACAGTGTGCAACAGACGGTGTGGACAGTGTGACAGACAGTGTGGCAGACAGTGTGGCAGACAGTGTGACAGACAGTGTGACAGCAGAGTGTGACAGACAGTGGTGACAGACAGACAGTGTGACAGACAGTGTGGCAGACAGTGTGACAGACAGTGTGACAGACAGTGTGACAGACAGTGTGGCAGACAGTGTGACAGACGGTGTGACAGACAGTGTGGCAGAGAGTGTAGAAGACAGTGTGGCTAACGGCGGTGTGACAGACAGTGTGACAGACAGTGTGGAAGACAGTGTGACACAGACAGTGGACAGACAGTGTGTGACAGACAGTGTGGCAGACAGTGTGACAGACAGTGTGACAGACAGTGGGACAGACAGTGTGGCAAACGGTGGTGTGGCAGACAGTGTGGCAGACAATGTGACAGACAGTGTGGTAGACAGTGTGACAGACAGTGTGACAGTCAGTGTGACAGACAGTGTGGCAAACAACGGTGTGACAGACAGTGTGGCAAAAGACGGTGTGATAGACAGTGTGACAGACAGTGTGACAGACAGTGAGACAGACAGTGTGGCAAACAGACAGTGTGAGACAGACAGACAGTGTGACAGGTACAGTGACAGACAGTGTGGCAGACAGTGTGACAGACAGTGTGTGTGACAGACAGTGTGACAGACAGTGTGACAGACAGTGCGACAGACAGTGTGGCACAGACAGTGTGACAGACAGTGTGACAGACAGTGTGGCAGACAGTGTGGCAGACAGTGTGGCAAACGACAGTGTGACAGACAGTGTAACAGACAGTGTTGCAAACGGCGGTGTGGCAGACAGTGTGGCAGACAGTGTGACAGACAGTCGGACAGTGACAGAGACAGTGTGACAGACAGTGTGGCAAACGGCGGTGTGACAGACAGTGTGGCAGACAGTGTGGCAAACGACGGTGTGACAGACAGTGTGACAGACAGTGTGACAGACAGTGTGCACAGACAGACAGTGTGGCAGACAAACAGACAGTGTGGCAGACAGTGTGACAGACAGTGTGACAGACAGTGTGACAGACAGTGTGACAGACAGTGTGGCAAACGACGGTGTGATAGACACAGACAGTGTGACAGTGTGGCAAACGGACAGTGTGTGGCAGTCAGTGTGACAGAAAGTGTGACAGACAGTGTGACAGACAGTGTGACAGACAGTGTGGCAAACGACGGTGGGACACACAGTGTGACAGACAGTGTGGCAAACGACGGTGTGGCAGACAGTGTGGCAGACAGTGTGGACGGTGTGTGACAGACAGTGACAGCAAACGGTGGACAGACAGTGTGACAGACAGTGTGCAGACAGTGTGACAGACAGTGTGACAGACAGACAGTGTGACAGACAGTGTGGACAGACAGTGTGTGACAGACAGTGTGGCAACAGACAGTGTGACAGACAGTGTGGCAAACGGCGGTGTGACAGACAGTGTGGCAGACAGTGTGACAGACAGTGTGACAGACAGTGTGACAGACAGTGTGGCAGACAGTGTGACAGACAGTGTGACAGACAGTGTGGACAGACAGTGTGGCAGACAGTGTGTGACAGACAGTGTTGACAGACAGTGTGGACAGACAGTGTGGCAGACAGTGTGACAGACAGTGTGACAGACAGTGTGACAGACAGTGTGACAGACAGTGTGACAGACAGTGTGACAGTGTGACAGACAGTGTGACAGACAGTGTGACAGACAGTGTGACAGACAGTGTGACAGACAGTGTGGCAAACGGCAGTGTGACAGACAGTGGAGCAGACAGTGTGGCAAACGGCAGCGGAGTTACAGACAATGTGGCAGACATTGTTGCAAACGGCGGTGTTACAGACATTGTGACAGACAGTGTGGACAGACAGTGTGTGACAGACAGTGTGGACAGACAGTGTGACAGACAGACAGTGTGGTGTGACAGACAGTGTGGACAGACAGTGTGACAGGTGTGGCAGACAGTGGTGTGACAGACAGTGTGGTAGACAGTTTGGCAGACAGTGTGACAGACAGTGTGACAGACAGTCTGACAGACAGTGTGACAGACAGTGTGACAGACAGTGTGACAGACAGTGTGACAGACAGTGTGACAGACAGTGTGACAGACAGTGTGACAGACAGTGTGACAGACAGTGTGACAGACAGTGTGACAGACAGTGTGACAGTCATTGTGGCAGACATTGTGGCAAACAGTGTGACAGACAGTGGCAGACACAGTGTGCAGACAGTGTGGAGACAGACAGTGTGTGAAACGGTGTGTGACAGACAGTGAGGCAGACAGTGTGACAGACAGTGTGACAGACAGTGAGGCAAAAAAGTGTGACAGACAGTGTGACAGACAGTGTGACAGACAGTGTGGACAGACAGTGTGACAGACAGTGTGAGGCAACACGACGGTGTGACAGACAGTGTGACAGACAGTGTGGCAGACAGGTGTGGCAGACAGTGTGTGACAGTGACAGACAGTGTGTGACAGACAGACAGTGTGTGACAGACAGTGTGGTGCGACAGACAGTGTGACAGACAGTGTGGACAGACAGTGTGTGACAGACAGTGTGGCAAACGACGGTGTGACAGACAGTGTGACAGACAGTGTGGCAGACAGTGTGACAGACAGTGTGACAGACAGTGTGGCAGACAGTGTGACAGACAGTGTGACAGACAGTGTGGTGTGACAGACAGTGTGGCAGAAAGTGTGGCAGACAGTGTGGCAGACAGTGTGACAGACAGTGTGACAGACAGTGTGACAGACAGTGTGGCAGACAGTGTGACAGACATTGTGGCAAACGGTGGTGTGACAGACAGTGCTGGCAGACAGTGTGACAGACATTGTGGCAAACAGTGTGACAGACAGTGAAGCAGACATTGTGGAACACAATTTGACAGACAATGTGACAGACAGTGCGACAGACAGTGTGGCAGACAGTGTGACAGACAGTGTGAGCAGACAGTGTGACAGACAGTGTGACAGACAGTGTGGCAAACGGCGGTGTGACAGACAGTGTGGCAGACAGTGTGGGCAGTGTGGACAGACAGTGGGACAGACAGTGTGGCAGACAGTGTGACAGACAGTGTGACAGACAGTGTGACAGACAGTGTGACAGACAGTGTGGCAAACGACGGTGTGACAGACAGTGTGGCAGACAGTGTGACAGACAGTGTGACAGACAGTGTGACAGTGTGGCAAACAGTGTGACACAGTGTGGCAAAGACGACAGACAGTGTGACAGACAGTGTGCAAACAGACAGTGTGCACAGACAGTGTTACAGACAGTGTGACAGACAGTGTGGCAGACAGGGTGCAGACAGTGTGACAGACGGTGTGACAGACAGTGTGTGCAGACAGTGTGACAGACAGTGTGACAGACACACGGACAGTGTGGCACAGACAGTGTGACAGACAGTGACAGTGGTGACAGACAGTGTGACAGACAGTGTGACAGACAGTGTGACAGACAGTGTGACAGACAGTGTGGCAGACACGTGTGACAGACACAGTGTGACAGACAGTGTGTGACAGACAGTGTGACAGACAGTGTGACAGACAGTGTGGCAGACAGACAGTGTGGCAGACAGTGTGACAGACAGTGTGACAGACAGTGTGACAGACAGTGTGACAGACAGTGTGACAGACAGTGTGGCAAACGACGGTGTGACAGACAGTGTGACAGACAGTGTGGCAAACGACGGTGTGACAGACAGTGTGACAGACAGTGTGACAGACAGTGTGACAGACAGTGTGGCAGACAGTGTGACAGACAGTGACAGACAGTGTGACAGAAAGTGTTGCAAACAGTGTAACAGACAATGTAACAGACAGTGTGAAAGACAGTGTGACAGACATTGAGGCAGACAGTGTGACAGACAGTGTGACAGACAGTCTGACAGACAGTGTGACAGACAACAGACAGTGTGACAGACAGTGTGACAGACAGTGTGACAGACAGTGTGACAGACAGTGTGACAGACAGTGTGACAGACAGTGTGGCAGACAGTGTGGCAGACAGTGTGACAGACAGTGTGACAGACAGTGTGACAGACAGTGTGACAGACAGTGTGACAGACAGTGTGACAGACAGTGTGGCAGACAGTGTGACAGACAGTGTGACAGACAGTGTGACAGACAGTGTGACAGACAGTGTGACAGACAGTGTGACAGACAGTGTGACAGACAGTGTGGCAGACAGTGTGACAGACAGTGCGACAGACAGTGTGACAGACAGTGTGGCAAACAGTGTGACAGACAGTGAAGCAGACATTGTGGAACACAATTTGACAGACAATGTGACAGACAGTGCGACAGACAGTGTGGCAGACAGTGTGACAGACAGTGGAGCAAACAGTGTGACAGAATGTGTGACAGACAGTGTGGCAAACGGCGGTGCAACAGACAGTGGAGCAGACATTGTGGCAAACAGTGTGACAGACAGTGGAGCAGACACTGTGGCACACAATTTGACAGACAATGTGACAGACAGTGCGACAGACAGTGTGACAGACAGTGACAGACAGTGTGGCAAACGACGGTGTGACAGACAGTGTGACAGACAGTGTGGCAGACAGTGTGACAGACAGTGTGGCAGACAGTGTGACAGACAGTGGCAGACAGTGTGACAGACAGTGTGACAGACAGTGTGACAGACAGTGTGACAGACAGTGTGGACAGACAGTGTGACAGACAGTGTGACAGACAGTGCAGACAGTGTGTGGACACAGACAGACAGTGTGGCAAACGGCGGTGTGACAGACAGTGTGACAGACACTGTGACAGTGTGACAGACAGTGTGGCAAACGACAGTGTGACAGACAGTGTGACAGACAGTGTGGCAAACGACGGTGTGGCAGACAGTGTGGCAGACAGTGGTGTGACAGACAGTGTGGCAGACAGTGTGGCAGACAGTGTGACAGACAGTGTGACAGACAGTGTGACAGACAGTGTGACAGACAGTGTGACAGACAGTGTGACAGACAGTGTGACAGACAGTGTGGCAAACAGTGTGGCAGACGGTGTGACAGACAGTGTGACAGACAGTGTGACAGACAGTGTGGCACAGACAGTGTGACAGACAGTGTGGCAGACAGTGTGACAGACAGTGTGAGCAGACAGTGTGTGTGGACAGACAATGTGACAGACAGTGCGACAGACAGTGTGACAGACAGTGTGGCAAACAGTGTGACAGACAGTGTGACACAGACAGTGTGACAGACAGTGTGACAGACAGTGTGGTGGACAGACAGTGCAACAGACAGTGTGACAGACAGTGTGACAGACAGTGTGGCAAACGGCGGTGTGACAGACAGTGTGACAGACAGTGTGGCAGACAGACAGTGTGACAGACAGTGTGGACAGACAGTGTGACAGACAGTGTGGACAGACAGTGTGGCAGAACACAGTGTGGACAGACAGTGTGACAGACAGTGGTGACAGACAGTGTGACAGACAGTGTGACAGACACAGTGTGACAGACAGTGTGACAGACAGTGTGCAGACAGTGTGTGTGACGACAGTGTGACAGACAGTGTGGACAGACAGTGTGACAGAATGTGTGACAGACAGTGTGACAGTCAGTGTGACAGAATGTGTGACAGACAGTGTGACAGACAGTGTGGCAGACGACAGTGTGACAGACAGTGTGACAGACAGTGTGACAGACAGTGTGACAGACAGTGTGACAGACAGTGTGGCAGACAGTGTGACAGACAGTGTGACAGACAGTGTGACAGACAGTGTGACAGACAGTGTGACAGACAGTGTGACAGACAGTGTGGCAGACGGCGGTGTGACAGACAGTGTGACAGACAGTGAGGCAGATAGTGTGACAGACAGTGTGACAGACAGTGTGACAGACAGTGTGACAGACAGTGTGACAGACAGTGTGGACAAGTGTGACAGACAGTGTGACAGACATTGTGACAGACAGTGTGACAGACAGTGTGGACAGACAGTGTGACAGACAGTGTGACAGACAGACAGTGTGACAGACAGTGTGACAGACAACAGTGTGACAGACAGTGACAGACAGTGTGACAGACAGTGTGACAGACAGTGTGACAGACAGTGTGACAGACAGTGTGACAGACAGTGTGACAGACAGTGTGACAGACAGTGGAGGCAGACAGTGTGGCAGACAGTGTGTGACAGACAGTGTGACAGACAGTGAGACAGACAGTGTGACACAGCAGTGTACAGACAGTGTGACAGACAGTGTGACAGACAGTGTGGCAGACAGGTACAGGACAGTGGGACAGACAGTAAGGCACAGGTGTGACAGACAGTGTGACAGACAGTGAGACAGACAGTGTGACAGACAGTGTGACAGACAGTGTGGACAGACAGTGTGGCAGACAGTGAGGCAACAGACAGTGTGGCAGACAGTGTGACAGACAGTGTGACAGACAGTGACAGACAGACAGTGTGGCAGACAGTGTGACAGACAGTGTGGCAGACAGTGTGACAGACAGTGGACAGACAGTGTGACAGACAGTGACAGACAGTGTGGCAGACAGACAGTGTGACAGACAGTGTGGTGTGACAGACAGTGTTTGACAGACAGTGTGACAGACAGTGTGACAGACAGTGTGGCAGACAGTGTGACAGACAGTGTTGACAGTGTGGCAGACAGTGTGACAGTGTGACAGACAGTGTGACAGACAGTGTGGCAGACAGTGTGACAGACAAACAGACAGTGTGACAGACAGTGTGACAGACAGTGTGGCAGACAGTGTGACAGTGTGGACAGACAGTGTGACAGACAGTGTGGCAGACATGTGACAGACGACAGTGTGACAGACAGTGACAGACAGTGACAGACAGTGTGACAGACAGTGAGGCAGACAGTGTGACAGACAGTATTACAGACATTGAGACAGACAGTGAGGCAGACAGTATAACAGACAGTGCAACAGACAGTGTAACAGACAGTGTAACAGACAGTGTGACAGACAGAATGACAGACAGTGAGGCAGACAGTGTAACAGACACTGTGACAGACAGTGTGACATACAGTGTGACAGACAGTGTGACAGACATTATGAGAGACAGTGAGGCAGACAGTGAAACAGACAGTGTAACTGACATTGTGACAGACAGTGTGACAGACAGTGTGACAGACAGTAAAACAGACAGTGAGACAGTGTGACAGACAGTGAGGCAGACAGTGAGGCAGACGGGGTGACAGATAGTGTGACAGATAGAACGGCAAACTGTGTGACACACAGCGTGACAAACAGTGAGGCAGACAGTGTGATAGACAGTATGGCCAACCTGACATTCTCATATCTCTTCATGTAGATTTTCCGGAACTGACCATCAGCCAGGTTTCCTACGTCCTTGAGCATCTCGTCAGCTACGTGTTTGGGCAGCACGGACAGCAACAGTCTTTCCTGGCAACAAGAGACACCAAATAAGATATTGTCCCACACAGACACAACATCAGACATTCCCCCACACAGCCAACACTCACCTTGTAGACAGGAGACATCCAAAACTCACCTTGTAGACAGGAAACATCCAACACTTACCTTGTAGACAGGATACATCCAGCGCTCACTTTGTAGACAGGAAACTACAACACTCACCTTGTAGACAGGAAACATACAACACTCACCTTGTAGACAGGATACATCGAGCGCTCACTTTGTAGACAGGAAACATACAACACTCACCTTTTAGACAGAAGACATCCAACACTCACCTTGTTCTTGTAGGCGACTTCGATCTTGGTTTTGGCAGTCAGGGCAGACTTGATCTCCATAACAGACCTACGGTTGAGTCTGTCTGAGAACAGACTTCCAGCAAAACCTATACACGTGGAGGCCGTGCACAGCAAGACATTGGCTGCCACCTGGGGAGGTGAAGGCGGCGTAAAGTGACTACAGTAAGACATCAGACAACACAAACACCTAACAGTTATCGTAACTTTGTTAAGACCAGCTGCAGACGGAATGTCAGCGAAAACTAAACTGTTATATCCTAATTGTACAACATCTATTGTAAGAAATGTTGTCACAGCAACATAGAATCTGTCATCAAACACCACATCAAACAGACTGAAATTTGCCTTGTTGTGTCAGACCAACTGAAAGAATAATATATCGTCAACTGTCAAACAATCAAACTGAAGGACTTTTTTGCACGGCTTTCGGCGTATTGGGCATATCAGGCTAGACTTATATTTTTATTGACCAATCGGCACTTGGTGGGTGAAGTGGTCAGCATCACGCCAGCCGACTTTATCAGAAGGTCGTGGGTTCAGGCCCTGACTGCAGGAGAAAAAAAATAACCTTTACTAACAGGGCCCTAAGCCACGACCTTCCGATCCGTCTAGCCGCCAACGTCGTGTTTTCAGTGCAAATCTTTCCGGTCCTGTTGAACAAGCTTCTAAATAGGCCACGCGTGTACTTAATAGAAACAAAACTGGGATAGTTTAGGTACTGGCAGGTCTATGTGGTACACTGATCTTTGGAGACTGCCATCCTGTCTACGTATAATAAGCACATCAAGAAATGGTAAGGTACTGTTATGTTGGTGTTGTAACGATATGTGACGTTTCCGTGTGACTGCGTCATGGCGGTTTGGAACGCAGTAGCTTGCTGTTTGCTAGCCGTTATTACCAGAATGTCATCTACATACTGACGGTACAAAAACAAATCCCTGATGTGGGCAGATCTGCTATTTTCAAGATGTGACATGAAGATGTCGGCCAAGATGGGACCTAAGGGAGTTTCTCATGGCTACTCCGTCAATCTGGCAGTAGCTCGTTTCCAGGAAAATAAAGTTGGCCACAGATTCTCAGTCACAGTTCTCCCAGATTGTCAGTCAAGGTTATCACCAGATTGTCAGTCATGGTTATCACCAGACTGTCAGTCAAGGTTATTCCCAGATTGTCAGTCAAGGTTATTCCCAGATTGTCAGTCAAGGTTATTCCCAGATTGTCAGTCAAGGTTATCCCCAGATTGTCAGTCAAGGTTATTCCCAGATTGTCAGTCAAGGTTATTCCCAGATTGTCAGTCAAGGTTATCCCCAGATTGTCAGTCAAGGTTATTCTCAGATTGTCAGTCAAGGTTATCCCCTATTGTCAGTCAAGGTTATTCCATGATTGTCAGTCAAGGTTATCCCCAGATTGTCAGTCAAGGTTATCCCCAGATTGTCAGTCAAGGTTATTCTCAGATTGTCAGTCAAGGTTATTCCCAGATTGTCAGTCAAGGTTATTCCCAGACTGTCACTCAAGGTTATCCCCAGATTGTCAGTCAAGGTTATACCGAGATTGACAGTCAAGGTTATTCCCAGATTGTCAGTCAAGGTTATACCAAGATTGTCAGTCAAGGTTATACCGAGATTGTCAGTCAAGGTTATCCCCAGATTGTCAGTCAAGGTTATCCCCAGATTGTCAGTCAAGGTTTTCCCAGATAGTCAGTCAGGGTTATTCCCAGATTGTCAGTCAAGGTTATACCAAGATTGTCAGTCAAGGTTATTCCCAGATTGTCAGTCAAGGTTATCCCCAGATTGTCAGTCAAGGTTTTACCAAGATGTCAGTCAAGGTTATCCCCAGATTGTCAGTCAAGGTTTTCCCAGATAGTCAGTCAGGGTTATTCCCAGATTGTCAGTCAAGGTTATACCAAGATTGTCAGTTAAGGTTATTCCCAGATTGTCAGTCAAGGTTATCCCCAGATTGTCAGTCAAGGTTTTACCAAGATGTCAGTCAAGGTTATCCTCAGATTGTCAGGCAAGATTATCCCCAGATTGTCAGTCAAGATTGTCCTCAGATTGTCAGTCAATGTTATACTCAGATTGTCAGTCAAGATTATCCTCAGATTGTCAGTCAAGGCTAATCCTAGATTGTCAGTCAAGGTTATCCTCAGATTGTCAATCAAGGTTATCCTCAGATTGTCATTCAGGATTATCCCCAGATTGTCAGTCAAGGTTATCCCCAGACTGTCAGTCAAGGTTGTCCCCAGAGTGACAGTCAAACTTTTCCCGCAATTAACAGAAGACTTACGTCAGACAATGGACCAGAAGTTGTCCAAAAATGGGGTCTTTAAGACTGGGAAACAGTTGGACAATACGAAAGCCCACAGGAACGTCGAGGAGAAACTAGTCTACAACTCAATAGAATTTGACTGGCGGCGATGTTCTCCTCCAGCAACAGTTTTTTCGATGTTTCTATGTTCTGTAAGATGACACTAGTGGAAGGATATATGAATGGAAGGACACACTACTGGGAGGATATATGAATGGAAGGACACACTAGTGGAAGGATATATGAATGGAAGGACACACTACTGGAAGGATATATGAATGGAAGGACACACTAGTGGAAGGATACATGAATAGAAGGACACACTAGTGGAAGGATACATAAATGGAAGGACACACTAGTGGAAGGATATATGAATGGAAGGACACACTAGTGGAAGGATACATGAATAGAAGGACACACTAGTGGAAGGATACATAAATGGAAGGACACACTACTGGAAGGATATATGAATGGAAGGACACACTACTGGAAGGATATATGAATGGAAGGACACACTACTGGAAGGATATATGAATGGAAGGACACACTAGTGGAAGGATACATGAATGGAAGGACACACTACTGGAAGGATATATGAATGGAAAGACACACTACTGGAAGGATATATGAATGGAAGGACACACTAGTGGAAGGATACATGAATGGAAGGACACACTACTGGAAGGATATATGAATGGAAGGACACACTACTGGAAGGATATATGAATGGAAGGACACACTAGTGGAAGGATACATGAATAGAAGGACACACTAGTGGAAGGATACATAAATGGAAGGACACACTAGTGGAAGGATACATGAATAGAAGGACACACTAGTGGAAGGATACATGAATAGAAGGACACACTAGTGGAAGGATACATGAATAGAAGGACACACTAGTGGAAGGATACATAAATGGAAGGACACACTAGTGGAAGGATACATAAATAGAAGGACACACTAGTGGAAGGATACATGAATAGAAGGACACACTAGTGGAAGGATACATGAATAGAAGGACACACTAGTGGAAGGATACATGAATAGAAGGACACACTAGTGGAAGGATACATGAATAGAAGGACACACTAGTGGAAGGATACATGAATAGAAGGACACACTAGTGGAAGGATACATGAATGGCAGGACACACTAGTGGAAGGATACATAAATGGAAGGACACACTAGTGGAAGGATATATGAATGGAAGGAAACACTAGTGGAAGGATACATAAATGGAAAGACACATTAGTGGAAGGATATATGAATGGAAGGACACACTAGTGGAAGGATATATGAATGGAAGGACACACTAGTGGAAGGATATATGAATAGAAGGACACACTGGTGGAAGGATACATAAATGGAAGGACACACTAGTGGAGGGATACATAAATGGCAGGACACACTAGTGGAAGGATACATAAATGGAAGGACACACTAGTGGAAGGATACATAAATGGAAAGAACACACTAGTGAAAGGATACATAAATGGAAGGATACACTACTGGAAGAATATATGAATGGAAGGACACACTAGTGGAAGGATACATGAATGGAAGGACACACCAGTGGAAGGATACATGAATGGAAGGACACACTAGTGGAAGGATACATAAATGGAAGGATACACTAGTGGATACATAAATGGAAGGACACACTAGTGGAAGGATATATGAATGGAAGGACACACTAGTGGAAGGATACATGAATGGAAGGACACACTAGTGGAAGGATACATAAATGGACGGACACACAAGTGGAGGGATACAAAAATGGCAGGACACACTAGTGGAAGGATATATAAATGGAAGGTCACACTAATGGAGGGATACATAAATGGCAGCACACACTAGTGGAAGGATAAATAAATGGAAGGACACGCTAGTGGAAGGATATATGAAATGAAGGACACACTAGTGGAAGGATACATAAATGGAAGGACACTAGTGAAAGAATATATTAGTCGAAGAAAACACGAGATACAGTGGAGGTATACACAAGTGGAAGGATATATAAATGGAAGGACACACTAGTAGAAGGATACATAAATGGAAGGACACACTAGTGGAAGGATACATAAATGGCAGGACACTAGTGGAAGGATACATAAATGGAAGGATACACTACTGAAAGGATATATGAATGGAAGGACACACTAGTGGAAGGATACATAAATGGAAGGATACACTACTGGAAGGATATATGAATGGAAGGACACACTAGTGGAAGGATACATGAATGGAAGGACACACTAGTGGAAGGATACATGAATGGAATGACACACTAGTGGAAGGATACATAAATGGAAGGATACACTAGTGGAAGGATATATAATTTGAAGGACACACTAGTGAAAGGATATATGAATGGAAGGAAACACTAGTGAGAGATATATGAATGAAATGAAACACTAGTGGAGGGATACTTAAATGGCAGGACACACTAGTGGATGGATACATAAATAGAAGGATACACTAGTGGAAGGATATATGAATGGAAGGACACACTAGTGGAAGGATACATGCATGGAAGGACACACTAGTGGATACATAAATGAAAGGACACACTAGTGGAAGGATATATGAATGGAAGGACACACTAGTGGAAGGATACATGAATGGAAGGACACACTAGTGGAAGGATACATAAATGGAAGGACACACTAGTGGAAGGATATATGAATGGAAGGAAACACTAGTTGAAAGATTTATGAATGGAAGGACACACTAGTGGAAGGATATATGAATGGAAGGACACACTAGTGGAAGGATATATGAATGAAAGGACACACTAGTGGAAGGATACATGAATGGAAGGA